GAACTCACTATGTAGACCAGGCTGGCCTTGAACTCACAGACATCCGCCTGCCTCTGCCTCTTGAGTGTGTACATGCCTTTTTAAAAAAAGGAAATTACAGTGGTAGGCTAATAAAAGACTGGCCAGAGACTTGGTTATAAGTTTCACAAAGACATGAGGGAAGGTTTATTGATTATCTCTACTGATTTTTCTTTTCAGAAATATGAACATTTGATTTTACTGAATATAATGAAAGTTTCACTCATAACATTTCTGTACAAGGTGACATAGAAATAAAGACTGAAAACAGGCCCCTTGAATCTGGCCAGTGTGGGGCGGGGTGGTTCTATGATAACTACTGAGACAGCAAGGCCATACAGAGCTGAGTTTAGAGGTAGGTCCTGAGGAAGGTGGTTGAGGTTCTCTTCCCCCTGGGTAGGCACTAGGAGAGGAGATGGCGTAAACAGCGGACATTTATTTCTCATCGTCCTGGAGACTGGAAGCCCAAGATGAAGATGCCGATAGAGTTGGTGTCTGGGAAGGCTTTGCATCCTGCTTCATAGACAGTCATCTTTTTGCTTTGTTGTCATGTGGAGGAAAGGGTTGAGAGAACCCTGGGGCATCTTTTACCAAGGCACTGATCCCATTCATAAGGGCTCCACAGCTCTAATGTCTCCACCTCCCTGAGGCTTCACTCCTCACACCATCACACTGGGGGTGGATTTCAACAGGAACTTTGAGGGCCCGTGTTCAGTCCATATACCTTTCCTTCTTCCTGTTGATTGAATTGTGGCTATGATGCCTGGGGGAGGAACAGTCATTTTACACTGAGAAGAGTCCTTGGGAGTGGAGTCAAGAAAGGGCATACAATGAGATAGCAGGAGTCCAAATCTCTGACACTGTTGGCCATCTGGCTCCTGACTTACATATGAGAGAAATCAAGTTATCATTAATTTTTGTTACTTATAGCCTAATCCTAACCAATATTTAAGGCAGTCTTACAGGGTAGACTTGAACTTGAGGTAAGATAAAAAGATACAATATTAAGGGGGCATAGTCTAAAGAGAAAGAAGCCCTTTACCCTGGAGTTGGCTTGCCTTTTCTGATGACAGAGCCACGAAGCTTTAAATACCACTGATAAGGAACATTACCCACAGAAATAATGTGTGTCATCCTAAATCTGTAGTGCTTGCTTGGGGCTGGAATGACGTGTAACCTAGAGTTCTGACACTCACATTGCTTGGATTGGACATTAGAGGACTTCACCAACCAGTGTGTTAAAAATTTTTTATTGATTTATTTAAAAAATTATTTGACCTCTGAGCCATCTCTCCAGCCCTCCTGCTTGCCTTCTTTCCTTCCTTCCTTCCTTCCTTCCTTCCTTCCTTCCTTCCTTCCTTCCTTCCTTCCTTCCTTCCTTCCTTATTTCCTTCCTTCCTTCCTTCCTTCCTTCCTTCCTTCCTCCCTCCCTCCCTCCCTCCCTTCCTTCCCTTTTTTATTTGTGTGTGCTCAGGAACTCGTGGGAATCAGATTTTATTTCCTTCTACCACGCAAGTCCCAGGGATTGAACCCAGGCAGATGCCTTTACTTGCTGAGCCATCTCACTGGCTCCTTGCTAATACTGGGGATTGAACTCAAAACCTCATAGGTGCTACTTAAGCTCTCTATCACTGAGCTAAATCTCCCAGCCATCTAATCAGTATGTTCTATGCACTGATAGGGTTTTGAATGAGAAATGGTTTAAGTTAATGTAAAGTAAGTGTCTTGAAATAAATATGCTGGAGCAGTAAGCAGAATTTAAATTCAAGTATCTAACCACAAAGGTGTCAGGCATAAAGTTACCAGCTCTCTGGTCTCATTGAATTCAAGCTGCATTTCCAGACGTTCATTGAATCCTGGATCCCATCTGCCCTGGAACACTTGACACACACAAGGCATGGGCAGGCTATTTAAAAAAATTATTATCGTCAACTAATGGTTTGTGAACAAAGTGCAGGCAAAAGGAAAAGCTATCTTCAGCCACCAAGGTTTGTTCAAAATGGATTCTTAGTTTGACGTTTCTCCCCAAAAGGTATCATCCTAGCCATTTACTTCATAGATATTTAAAATTCCCCAAGGAGTGATGTAATAGGTACAAATTCCTTAAGGTCTGGCAGCTGTCCCTGTCCTCAAGATTGATTCCCTTTGTCATTTTGTACAGAATCAATCCATGACAGAAATGCTCCTCAAAGTGCAGAATGCTATTGGAGAACTATATCTTGAAATTGGGATGACTGAGAAAGGACTCTAATATTTTCAGAAAGCGTGGTCAAATCTGCTGCGGTTTACACTTAGTGGCTTGAAAACCAGCCAGGACTTGGTGAAACAGAAAGGTAGGTGCATGCCTGCAGAGGGCACCCCATCCCTTGCAGAACACAACTCCTAGGCCTGGCCGTAGGAAAGGGAATGGTAGGGTAGAGTCTGTTCTGGCCTTTGGGGAGGTTGCTGGGAGTGTAAAAGCATACCTCTTCCTGACAGACAACCCTTTTAGAATGTCAGAGGCTCTGAAGGTGACCCTCAAAGGAGGAGGCGCAGTACAGTATGGGGCCTTCAGTATTCAACTCTGAAACTAGCCTTTGATGCACGACTTCAGCTTTCTGGGTCACAGTTTACATGTTTGTAAAGTAGGGTAAAAACTGTGTCTGCATTGTATATTGTTGTGAGACTAAAAGTGTTCCTAGGAGGCTGGAAAGCACCCAGAACAGTATCTGGCATGAATTTAAGTATTCATTGATTATTCTCCAGTATTTAATGTTTTGAGGCCACTGTGATACCTTTGGTAAAACAGAGAAAAGAATATTTACTGAATCAAGGTATAGGACAAGCATTTGTAGTTCAAAAATCCAAAATGCTCTAAAATATTTGTTTGCTTTTTTTTGTTTATTTAAGACAGGGTTTTGCTATGCAGCCCAAGCTAGCCTTGAACTAGAGATTCTTCTACCTCAGCCTTCCAAATACAGGAATTACAAGTGTGTAAGCCCATGGCCAGCTAAAAGTTCAAAATTCTGATGGTCAACATGATGCTTAAAAAATTCTGGACTTTAGACTTGGGAGTTTTGGATTCAGAATACTCAGCCACACAGTTTATATAAACACTCCCCAACCCCCAAATCTCCCAAATCTCAAACAAACACTTCTGGTCCCAAGCACTTTGGGTAAGGGGTATTCAACTTCATTAGACAATTCTGCCCTGCTGACTTATAGTCAGACTGAGGATTCTGCACTTTGTTATACTTGTATGGCCATGGCATGGGGTTTTATTGCATAACAAGCCATCCCAAACCTTGGTGGCTGAAAATATCATTTCCTTTTGCCTACACACCTCTGAGTCAGTTGAGGGATTCTCCTGGTCCAGGGTGGGCTCCTCAAGTAAAGGCATGGCTCATGTAAGTATTTGAGACTGGCTGGCAGGCCTGAATGGACTGGCTAAGCTGAGAGCATCACACCTAGGCATTTGGTGGTTGTCTGCCTGGGCTGACAGGTAGCTGGGCCAGTATTGTTCAATCCCAGGAGGACTGCCCAGGTCTGTTTACTTGGAAGTTAGCAGGAGAAAGAGCTGAAGCCTATGTCTGGGCTCAGAGTTGGTACAATGTCCCCTTCCCTGGCATTTGATCAACTACAGGGCCTTGGGGTTGTTATGGATAACATCAAAAGGGGGATTGGATAAGGCTAGTGTGGAGACTTGCAGCTGCTTTTGCAATCTGCCACCATGGATAGAGGACCAAAGGTCCTTTCTAAGGCGCTAATGTCCCCCAGCTATAAATTCACTTTTTTAGTGATATCTACCTAAAGCAAGTTATGCTCACAGTCTCTTTTATCCTTTCCTTTGCCATCTTCTTGCCCCCTTTCACAGGTGAGGAAGCTGCAGGCTAGAGAGATTAAGGAGCATCAACTCCCACAGCTAGTAGATTTGGAGCTATGATGAGGTCTGTCTGACCCCAGAGCCTGTCTCAGTAGCTCTTTGCCATTCAGAATGCTTTCAGACATTTTAGGGGCTGTAATCCTTGATATAGAGCGTCTAACTTCCTGTTACACCGATGTAGGCAGGCCTGGCCCAGGCATGCTGAGGATTTGATGAGCAGGGGAAGACATGGTGGGAACCAGGGACACTTACGTGGGAGCCTGGCCCTGGCCTCTAAGATGGCTGTACAGTTCAGTACTCAGAGCCCTGAGGTGGTCAGCATGCCTGGCTTGGTTTCGAAGTGTAAAACTATACTTGTGATGAGGTCAAAGCTACAAGGGATGGGGTGGGGGTATATCAGGGTCTTAATGAGGTGTCTGTACCATCTGAAACAGATCTATTGGGAACAAATGTAGTTTGAGTTTCTTGACAAGAGTCAGGTGGGGCTTCAGGGTCTGGGAAAATTGATGAAAGATTCTAGCTTGACAAAAAAATCATCCATTCAAAAACATGTTGGTTGACACCTGCCCTGCACCAGATACTGTGCTGAATGCAGAAGGCAGAAGTACCAGCTCTGCTTTCTGAAGGATGTGGCACAATACATGGAATGAAGCCAACACATGGAATGATCACAGGCGCCGTACTAGTCAGAAACAGCTTGCAGCCAAACTTCTGTCTTCGCTCCCAGTTTCAAGGGGTTGAGTCCATGGTCATCTGGTTCTGTTTGGTTCCATTTGGGCCCAAGACAAAGCTGTGTGAACATGTGGCAGTTGGAGTGTATGGAGGAGGCTGTTCACTTCATAACAGCCAGGAAGCAGAAGGGAGCATGACTGTACTAGCAGGCTTCCTCCTTCCTCCTTTATTCACTCTAAGCCCATAGCCTGTCCAATGGTGTTGCTCATAGTCAAGATGGGTCTTATCTCCTTAGTTCATCATCTCTGGAAACACCCTCATAGACACACCCAGACATGGGTCTAGACACTTTGAGGTGTTACTCTCCTAGGTGCTTCTCAATGCAGTTGAGTTGACAGTAAGATTAACAATCATAGGTTATAAGAATGCAGCAGAATGGAGTTAGAGCAAAAGTGTGGAGGGACCCACCTGTGAGAAGTGGGTCAGGGGGCCTCTTTGAGGAGGGGACAATGAAACTAAGACCTGAGACCATTGATCTTCAGGAGCCTCAGGGAACAGTCCTGGCTGAGGGAACCACATATGCAGAGGTGGGGAAGGCTAGGCCTATCTTGAGCTGGAGAGATTCCTCAGTGAAGGGCAGGAAGTGGCTAGACTAGGCTGCAGGCTCTTGGGCCAGCATTTGGATTTTATTCTAAGGGCAAGGAGAAGCCACTGCAGTGTGTTAGGATGAGAGTGATGCCATCTGGTTTCTGTTTTGAGATTGCTTTTGCTGATGTATAAAAAATGGATTCTTCATGGCTGGGCGTGGTGGCACACACCTTTAATCCCAGCACTTGGGAGGCAGAGGCAGGCAGATCTCCAAGGAGTTCCAGGTCAGCTGGGGCTAACCCTTTACAATGAAGTCTGAATTCCATGGCACAGGAAGTTCCAGCCTCTTCTCTGTGCCTCTAGCAGTATTCTACTGATGCTTTCTCAAAACACCACTGCCTTAGTTTGCTAGGGCTTCTCTAACAATGTACCACAGGCTAGGGAGCTTAAGAAGCCTTTTTGCTCTTGCTTCTTGTGCCTGCTTGAAGATGTGAGAGCTTAGCTTCTGCTCCTCCTCCAGCCACCTCTGCCACCTTGCCTCCCTGCCATGATGGACTCTTGCCCCTTTGGAACTGTAAGCTCAAATAAACTCTTCCTTCTATTAAAAAAAAGAAGCCCTTTTCTGACAGTTCTTGAACAGAAATCAGAGGTCAAGGTGTTAGCAGGGCTGACTGCTCCTGAGCCTTCTCCCCTTGATTTGTAGATGACCCCCTTCACCCCCTGTCCTCACATGGTCTTCTGTGTATGGACCCTAATTTCCTCTCCACTGGGATGGAGGCCTAGTGGCTCATTTTGATACCTCTCTAAAGAAACTATCTGTAATAGGGTCACACTCCTAGGTACTAGAGATGAGGACTTCAAGATGTGACTTTTGAAGGAATACAGTTCAGCCCAAAGAGTTATGCTTTTCCCATTCCCACAAGGTATTGCTTAGAAAAACTTCCTGCTTTTAAGGAGTCTGGGTTATTGTCAAAATATAAATTCAACAGAAGAGCAAAATTGTTGAGTCCAGGTGAAGCCTCCTGTTTACTAATTGGTTTGTGGCATGGATTCGTGTGCTTCCTGTATGGCTGTATTATGCTTTCTGTCTCACTGCAGGATGGTACTGCCTGTTTTCTCTAGGATTCGGTTTACCATGGGGATTGCTGGCTTCACTGTATTTGTGTTCTTGCTCTGTTTCTGACTTGCTCATTCACAAAATAGACTTGGGGGGCTGGAGAGATGGCCTAACTGATAAAGTGCCTGCCTTGCATGCACGATGACTTGAATTTGATCCCCAGAACCCATGTAAAAAAGCCAGGCATGGTGGAACATGCTTGTAATCTCAGCACTGGGGGAGCAGAGACAGGTGAATCAAGGTGGCTCTCTAGCCAGCCATACTAGTCTGCTTGTAGAGTTCCAGGCCAGTGAGCAACCTGTCTAAAAAAAAAAAAAAAAAAAAAGGGTGGTATCTAAGGAATGACACCTGAGGCTGTCCTCTGGCCTCCTCATGTATACATACATGCACATATACACACATGTACACACAAAACACACATACTCATGTATGCATACACTCGTGTGCACCTGCACAGACATGAACCATGAACATATACACACACACATGTACACACAAACAGACTCAGTCTTCAGGATCAATCTGTTGTCTTACCACCTTGGCCTTGTGACTACCACACACACATACTGATGCTATACATGAAAACCAACCCTATTCAGTGTAGGTCAGTGGCTAATTCATCCAGAAAAAGCCTGGTTCTTGGCCTCATGAAGTACTGATATTAAATGCTAGGCCCTATGACATTTTGATTCTTTTATGGGAAAAAAAACCCCTTAAGCATTATATTCTTTGTGAACATTTATTCCTGATAGTCAAAGTACTGAATAACCTGGCAATCAGCATCTGAGGATACTTAAAAGAAAACCATATCTTGGAACAGAGGACCCCAACAAATATGCTACTGAAATCTCCAGGTTAGTGAACGACAATCCCCGTGATCAAGCTACCATGAAATACACCGAAGGTGTTCTCATGTAAACATGGGTTCTTTTTCCTTAACTTTCCTTGTTTTCTTTATTAGCTTTTGTTCTTTTCATCAATGTACTTAGGGACTGGTGATGTAACTCAATTAGTAGAATGCTGTCTAGTGTACAAAGCCCTGGGTTCAATTTCCCAGCCCAGTGTTTAAGTTTGGTATGGTTGCATGTTCCTCTAGTCCCAGAACTTGGGAGGTGGAGGCAGGAGGATGAGGAGTTCAAGATCATCCTCAGCTACTTAGGGGGTTCAAGGCCAGCCTGATTAACATCAGACCCTGTCTCAAAGATACATGTTTATGTTTAATCTATATCTGGTACTGAGTCTCTCACCCAGCCAATACTGTTAAGGAAATGCTGAGCGTCAGCATGCCCTCCATCTTAGTAGGTCTCAGCCAGGGTGGTTTTGGGCCCATTGCAGGGCACTTTTGGCAATGTCTGGACATGCTGTTGGTTAACAGGACTGGCAAGAAGATTTTGATAGAGGTCTAGAGGGGAGGTCAGGGATATTACTAGACAGACTACAGTGCACAGGGCAGGCCTATAGTAAGGAATTACCCAGTCTATATCTACAATGCTGATGTTGAAAATAATGCTCTTTGTAGCCCAGGCTGGCCTGAACTCATGATCCTACTACCTCAGCCTCCCAAATGCTGGGATGACAAGTGTGCATCACCATGTTTGGCTACTCTAGATTCCTTATAAAGATTTTGCTGGGGACATGGCAATGTAGCTTAGGGCCAGAGTACTTGCTAACATATACAAGGCCCCCTGCCTCAAAGATCTATACAATATCTTCTGTTTTTTGATTTTTTTGAGACAGGGTCTCTCTGTAACCCCAGCTGTCCTGGAACTCAATATGTAGATCAGGTTGGCCTCAATCTCACAGAGCTCTGCCTGTCTCTGCCTGGGATTAAAAGCATGTACCACTATACCCAGCCTACACCTTCTTCTCATGAGTGATTTTGAGATTCTTTGACTCCACTGTTATAAACTGTTATTTTAATCTTTCTGGACAGATTTTGGATGTTCATGAGAGTTGGTTTTGGTAGCCCAGTGAATGTAGGACATTTACTGTAAACACCCTTCTAGTAAATCACAAGCCTGTGTTTCATTTTCAGGTTGTCTGCTGGAAACACATCTGTTGCAAAACTGAAATTTCAAGAGTGTTTAAATATCAGAAGACGAGAAAAACATGCTAGTTGGAGAAATTATGGAATTGTTAGCAGATTTATTATTTTTTTTACTAGGAAATAATGAAAAGTAAGTTTCTAAGAATTGTTTCAGGAAACATGTCCTCTCCCCCAATCCTCCAGCATCTGAGATCTGCAGTTACTTATTGGGGCTTCTATGTCTCCATTCCTACTTATAAACTTCCCTCCTGAGGGTCTCAACCTGCCGTACTTGTCAGGGTACCATCTAGCAGGTATTCAGCAAGAGTTCTGGGCCAACAGTGTGGAGGCTTTGACAGCAGGTAGGGACACAGGAATCCAGTGCTGTCATTGTGAGTGGCTCCTGTGACCCTGACACCACCTGTGAGCAGGCCTGCTTACTCCAGGGCCTTTGTGAAAGTCTTGGCCATGGCTACTGCCTGTAGGACCCCATCTCACTGTTCTGTGTGTCTATGAGACAAGGCCAGAGCTTACCATACCTCAGGTCATACTGGCTGTTGTCCCTCTCTCTTGGGTAGCCTTTGTTATGAGTGTCTATCCTCAGTTCCCCATACATCTAGGGGTAGAAGAGGGTGGTAGGGACCATCTCGGGACCTGATGTGAGTATGTCTAGGTCTGATTGCCTTTCCTGGCCATGGTGTGGGAGGAGAGTCTTTGTGGAGCCTCAGAGAGCCAAGTGCAGGCTTCTTGGAGCCCAGTGCTGCCCTTTCACAGACAGTCAGCTGACCAAATGAACAGTTAGGGACACTCTCTGTAAATCTTGGTTTTGGAGCAAGGGCTCCCCTCCCCTCCTTGTGCCCAGCCTTGCTTTTGCACCCCAGTCTTTCACTTTCTCCAAGACTTTTCCTCTCAATAGTGACTTCTTCCTTCTTGTGCTCTCAGGAAGAATGTGATACCTGCAACCTATAGTACTTTAGTATAAATCAGCCTTAACTCTTTCTTAATGATGTTTAAAGGACAAAGAGTAAGCCAAATACAGGAGGACCTAGGTAAACTCACAGTGGTGGGTGGTAGTGCTGAGGTAGGTGGTGGGATCTGTCTCACAGGCAGGGTTCAGATTTTGTTTCTGCTGCTGAGTAACAGTGAGAAGTTGGACAGGTGTTTAACATCTTGGGATCTCATCCACTTTCTCTTTGGTGAAGTAAGCAGTAAGAGTATATTCCTTACAGGATTACTGAGGATTAGGGCAGCTGTCACGTGGATAGCTCAGTGGGCCCGGCACGTACTGCAAGTGTGGTGTCCTGAGTGGTGGGTACAGTTATTTTGCTCTGCAGCAGATGGCTGTGGTGGCACTAGACACTGAATAAGCTCCCTCTTACTCATCTTAAGGGCAGTATTTCCTGTAGAGAAGCAAAAAGCTCAGCTGCAGAGTCCTTCCTCTGGTCTAATTGGTCTCCCTGCTCGTCCAGCTTCTACCCAGGCTGCAATGACATTACGATCCTACTGTCCTCTTAATGAAGAGTTTTCAGTATCAAAGTCCAAAGCCTTGGGCCAGAGATTAGCTTATGCCCAAGGCTTGACTAGCATGTGTTAGGCTCTGGCTTTGATCCCCAGCACTGCAGTCAATCAATCATTCAATCAATCAATCAATCAATCAATCAATCAATCAATCAATCAATCAATCAATCATCAGTCAATCAGTCAATCAAGAATGCCTACCTAACATGCATGAGTACTAGGGTTCAATGCCTAGAACCATATACAAACTGGGTGTACTGGTGCATGCCTGTCATCCCAGTACTCAGAAGGTGAGGTGGAGGCAGGAAAATCAGGAATTCAAGGTCATCCTTGGTTATATATGGAGTTTCGAGGCCAGCCTGAGCTACATGAAACTCTACATTTAGAAACAAATGCCCAGAGCCTTAGTGTTATGAGTGGATCCCAGCTTCAGGCTCTAGTCTCCCTCCACCTGTGGGAGAGTTTGAGGCAAGGGCCAGTCTTACTGCTCTTTGTCCTCAGTCCTATTTGTTGAATGGATGTATGCCACCAATGTAAAACTTAATTGAATTTCTGTTTTCTAGATCTGAAAGAAAGCAAGTAACCGAGTATTATAAACAAGTAATAAAAATCAAGGACTAAGGCAGATGCTGTGGTCACCTGTAGGCTTATCAGGAAGCAGCTGAGCATTAGCCTCAGCGATACCGTGTGTAAACTATGTAATTGCTCACATCTGTTTCTTTTATGAGCAGGTGATGTTTTAGCTGCAAACTTTGGTTTAATTATTTAAAAAATGGTTTTATAGCGGGGCATGGTGGTGCCTGCCTTTAATCGCAGCACTCAGGAGGCAGAGGCAGACAGATCTCTGTGAGTTCGAGGCCAGGCTGGTCTCCATTAGCGAATCCAGGCCAGCTGCAGCTACAGGGAAACATTGTCTCAAAAAGACCAAAAAAAAAAAAAAAAAAAGGGTTTTGTTAAACCGGGTATGGTGGCACACACCATTAATCCCAGCACTGGGGAGGCAAAGGCAGGCAGATCTCTGTCTACATAGCAAGTTCCAGACCAGCTGGAGCTACAGGGAGACCCTGTCTCAAAAAGACCAAAAGAAGAAGAAGAAGAAAAAAAAAAACCAAAGCAAAACAAGACAACAAAAAAGGCGTTATTGAAGCAGCTCCTGTTCATATACTTTCATTTTTTTTCAAACCAGTGAGTCATTTGTCTTTTAACTTAAAAAAAACTTTACTGAGAATTTCATACATGCATATAAGGTGTTTTGATAAATCCATGCCCACTCTCTCCCCTCCATCACCTTCCATATTTCCCCATCACTTTTTCCTGCCAACTTCGTGTTTTCTTTTTTTCTCTCTTTCTTTTTCTTTCTTTCTTTCTTTCTTTCTTTCTTTCTTTCTTTCTTTCTTTCTTTCTTTCTTTCTTCTTTCTAAATGGGGCTTTTAACTTCCTTTTATTTTTTGAAGGAAGTTAAAAAGTATTTTACTTATTATTTTTAATGTGTATGAGTATATTGCCCCCATGTATGTAAGTACACCCATGCTGAGCAATGCCCACAGAGGTCAGCATAGGGCATTGGATCCCCTGGAACTGGAGTTACAGATGGTTGTTAGCCACCATGTGGGTGCTGGGAAGCAAACCTGGGTCCTCTACAAGAACAGTCAGTGCTCTTAACCACTGAGCCGTCTAGTCCCTAAAGACGTTTTTAATTACATTCATTTATTGTGTGTGTGTGTATGTGTGTCTGTGTGTCTGTGTATGTATGGGCACACTGGTGTGTCAGCATGCATGTGGAGGTCAGAGGAAAGTGGAGAACACCCAGGGGCTTTCGACAAGGTCACTGGGCCTGGAGGACAGACAGTGGAAGTGTAGGATTCTCTATGACACTGGAATAGAGGACAACCAGAGAGTGCTTTTCCAGACTTGTCCACAAGCTTTACATTTGATTCTTGTACATGGGTTGGTTCTGTCAAAGAAGGCTCTCAGGAAGGGACCCGAGAAGACTGCTGCTTCTTTGGGCAGTCTGGACTCCACAGACAAGGGAATGTAGCAGAAGGCTTTGCACATGAAGCTGCAAGGGAAGCATAGCATGGTCAGAGGGACCTTGATTCTGAGTCTACTTTTAAGGTCTGTGGATATAAAACACAGCTCTCACCTCAATGGGAATATGAAATCATTTATGCTCAAGTCAAATGTGAGTGACCATGGCCTGGAAACACAAATCTCAGGTTGCCCAAATACCATGTTCCAATATTATAATAGTTTCATATAAATTTTTTTCATAATAGAAGAAAGAAAACATTACTGGGGCTGAGGAGATATTTCAGTTGGTAAAGTGCTTGCTGCACAAGAGGGAGTTCAACCCCTAGCATCCACACAAAAAGCCAGGTGCAGCACCTGTAATCCCAGTGCTGGGGAGATGGAGACAAGAGGATCCTTGGAGCTTGCTGGGCAGCAGTCCAGTGGAACTGGTAAGTTCCAGGTCCAGTGAGAGACCCTGTCTCAAAAAATAAGATGGAGAACAGCTGAGGAAGATGCTTGATGTTGACCTCCAAATGCACACGTAAACATGTATGCACATAACATCACACACATGCATACATAGACATGTACCCAGAGAAAAAAAATCTTATATCAAGACATTTAAAAAATACATTGGTGGAAGCATCAGGTAGGTGGCCTGCAGCTGCAGCAAAGTGGGGAAGTCTTTCCTGTAGCCTCAGATGCTCTCTGACAGCATTCTTAACCTTTGGGTTGTTGGAAGCTAGGGAACTGTTTATACTTTCGAAAAAGGATTTTACCTAATAGTGACATTTGACCTGACACAGGATGTTAGGTCAAACACAGAGGTGGGCAATGAATGACTATTTAGGCAGCTAAAGATAGCCCAAGATAATATGACTCCATACCTGTAATATCCAGCTCTCCACAATCACTCTTCTTTTATTTTTTGCATGCATATCTGTGTTCACATGTATGTGGACACGTGTGTGCATGATTACATGTGCACATAGATGTGTGTGCACGTGGAAGCCTGAGGTTGATGCCAGGAGTTTTCCTTGATCACTTTCCACCTCATTCATTGAGGCAGGGTCTCACAGTCAAACCCAGTACTCACTAATTCAAGTAGTCCTATGAATCAGCTTGCTCTGGAGATCTCCTGTCTCCCCCTTCCATGGCTGGAACCCTGCATTTCACATGTGTTTCTTGGGATCTGAGTTCCAGTCCTCACACATGCACTGCAAATGCTTTAACCACTGAGCCATCTTCCCAGTCCCTCATTTAACTTTTATTCAGGCTATCAGCCTTGTAGAATGCTTAACACAGTTGTGGCTTTTTTTTTCTGGTAACTACAGTTCAAAAGCCTTTTGATTTTCTTTAGGAATTTTATTTCCAAATTGCTAGGCATGGTAAAACTGACTACATTTTGGACCATATTGATTCAAAGACTTAGAGCTTCTGTTATCATTGTTTGGCGCCCCTGTAAGGAGGAGTAAATATTCTTTTAAATTGTACCAAAAGTTGACATCATTTCCTGTGGTTTTGGTGAATACTGAGTTTCTTCTTCAATGGTCCTAGTTCAGGGGAGGGGAACTTGCATCATGTTTTAAGGGTGATCTTTAGGGCCATGTTTGCAGGACTCTAGAGGCCTTCTGAGAGAAGGCCTCTACTCTCCACACTTGGCCTTAAGCTTTATTGCCTTGGGATTTAGTCATACCTATGATCTGTTAGCTTATTTTGTAAACAGTTACCATTCTGTGAGTTCTGCCAATGCATGTGGGAATTGAAGAGGAGAGTTGAATGGGGTGGGGAGGGGAGGAGGAGCAGTCTCTGGGCAGTAGCTGGAGACAGGCCCTACCCAGCTGGAAGAGGGTGTAAGTGGCATGAAGGTGGCCACTCACTAGGCCCATGGGATAGGACTTAGGAACTGCCATCCCTGAGTAAGTTGTTCTCCCATGTGTCCATCTAACAGAGACTTCCCAACCCATGGGCATCTGGACAGGGGTGAAGCCCCCTACTGGTCACCTATAGCCTTGGGTAGTTTTATTTATTTCAGTGGCTACACAGAAATCTCATCATAAATGTGTATATATATATATATAATTTTATTGACTTATTTTTATTTTTACCTGTATGAGTGTATTGCCTGCATGTATGTAAGTGCACCCATGTCATGCAATGCCTGTGGAGGTCAGAAGAGGGTATCAGATTCCCCTGAAACTGGAATTATGGATGTTTTTTAGCCATCATGTGGGTGCTGGGAATTGAACCCGGGTCCTCTCTAGGAGCAGTCAGTGCACTTAACCGATAAGCCATCTCCCCAGACCCAGAAATCTCGTCTTCTGTAAATGCCATAGCTAGAGCCATTTTGAAACACTGTCAGGGGTTCTGACAGCTCCTTGCCACAGGACATAATTTGCACATTATTCTACACAAGCTATTTTTCAAACCGGTGCTGATTTTGTCTCTCATCTGAAAGTATGAAACAAGTTTTGATTTTTCAAGACTGGATAAAGGGAGTGCAAGCTAGGTAGTGGGGGCACCTCGGGTGCTGTGAGCACTTCACAGCCAGTCCCCAATGTCCATAGTGCCTGGGCTAAAGAACCCTAGTGTAAGCTGCTTTCCCAGTGTGTGCACGCCATTGTTTAAAAGCAATGGAATATGATTGTTTTCAGCTTAGTCACTTGCTGAACATGAAAAAGGCCCCTGTGTCAGCAGCAGAAGAATCTGTTCTGTGGATGGGTTTAGGAATGTGTGTGTGTGTGTGTGTGTGTGTGTGTGTGTGTGTGTGTGCCTGTGCATAAGCAAATAGTTTTCTTCAAGGCTTCCAGGCTGAGCCATGTGAAGCATTTGATCTAAAAACAGAAAATGCAGATGTGGAAATAGAGAAAATTTATGGCAAAGGCGCTAGTATATCTATTCCGGTCTCTCCATTTACTGTTCTGACATGTAACAGTTTGTGTTTCTCTAGTCTGTCATGGAAGTAAAATATATCCATTTATTTCAGAAAACAGACATCTGTAATAGTGGCAATTGCAGAATTTTATGACATCTCAAGTCTTTACAAAAATAATTCAAATTTGTTGTCTATTTCCAATGTGGTATGATTAGTTCTCTTTAATTCTTTTTTCAGTGCTGAAGTGCGAACCCAGGACTTTGTGCATGATAGGCAAGTACCTCACCACTGAGCTACAGCCCCAGATCTGACTAAATATTTTTCCTGTAAGGAGTCATTTCTTGTCACCATTCATGGTGGCCGTTGAAATGGTGGTGTCCACTTCTTGTCATCCTTAATTCTCCTTCTACTGATTGACACTGACTTGTTTAACATAAGGTTCACTTCTGGCTCTCAGGAACATGGTAGATAATTAAATCAACTGTTAATTTAAGTTTATTGTGCTTTTTGCTTCAGTTGGTGACTGTGAGTGCAGACCATAGCTTCAGGACATCATGACAAGTGTGTTGGGAGGGAAAACAGACTAGTTCTGGAAAACTTTGAATTAGTTGTCCTTCGATATATAAGATGTACTTTTAGTTTTCCTATTTTATGGACATTTTCTATCTAAAGGAAATGTCCTTGTTCTAGTTTGTTCTTCATTGCTGTGACAAAATACTCTGACCACTACCAACTTGGGGAGGAAAGGGTTTATTCAGCTTACAACTCTCAGGTCACAGTTCATCAGGGAGCCCAAGGTAGGAACTCAGGGCA